GTCAAAGATCTTTTGTTCATGGAAACCATATTGTTTGCCCCTTCTTCTTTTTCTTCTGCTTATCTAGAACAGTGGTTAGTTTGACAGCCAAATATGGTGGTTCAGAAAGTTGATCACTCCGAATTAAATTATCTATGCCCTTTATTAATGTTTGAAGCATAGTATACTTTATAGTGCTAAACGGCTACTGAGGCGGCTGTTTGTCCATGGTATTAACAGATGATTTAGATCGTTATATGTACCTAATTACTTTCAATCTTTCTTGCTGGTATTTTTTGTAGGGTTGGTTTTCATACAAACTTCTAGCTGACGATGAAATGAGGGACTGCGACATTGCTAGTTCAGTTATGGATTTATCACACAATAGTATTGTGGCAAGCACATTGTTAGGAAGCATAATGATCTTCGTTCCTATATCAAGGTATGAAACTTGTCATGTTTTTATAATAATTTGGTAATGAGAATTTTAGGTGAAACTATTTCGTTTGCGTTTATGGAAGTCAATGGTGGGAGATCTAAGGAGTTCAACATCCTAGTATGATCATCGAGACAACCAAAACCAAAAAGTTAAAAGAAAGAATTAGAGATAGAGGTTCTATGTTCATGCAGGGATGCTTACCTGGATGTGAACCATGTGAACCTAATGCACATTGATGTTATGGTGTGCCAACATTGAGTTTCTATGGTGTGAACCCTAGATATATGAACATTAGATATACCGTGTGAACCTAATGAACAATGTAATCGGTATATGTTGGTCACGTGATCATGTCCTTCAACCTTGATGCATGCTCATAGCGATACACATGCACAACGATGAGACATTCACATTAACAAAACAGGGGATGTGCACCTAAAACCGATACATGTACTTTATATCTGTTTCGACATGATGTTCATGGGACACGAAACTGTAATGTAGGTGTGTTCACAGTAGACTGTTTGCATTTACATTTTCAGAATTTGTCTAAGATCTTTTGTTCATGGAAACTATATTGTTTTTCCCTTTTTCTTTTTCTTCTCCTACACTTTATAGACCTTCAATGAACTGCTCCTACGCTCCAATCTGTCTTGAACTCACACATGCATTAGCTTGTTAAATTCATATGTAATATCTTCCTTCCGTTTCTAGTGGCTGAACTTGGTAACTATAATCATGTACACCAGGTGAACTTGAAAAACCAATGAGATACACAATAAAAACCAAATCAAAGAACCAGTTATGAGGGAGTTGGTATATAATATTTATATGTATGACACCAATGCAGCAATGCCAACATGCAACAAACAGCACAGTTCATTATAGGGTTTGACGAGTTGCAGTCTGCTACTCAATGCATCAATGCCAACATGGGCTGTTGGGTTTGTTCGATGTGATCAAGTAAGATAGCACAGTCATTGCAGCAAGAATAGTTGATTCTTCTCGAAAGTAATATGTGTTCATTTAAACGAATGTAAAAAATAATATTTAGCACTTACCAATATGAACAGTTTGATCATTTTCTTCGCTTTCGGCATTCGAATTCCAAATGTATTCGTAGACACTTTTAGCTTTTTCATTCCCATTGTCGTCAAATCATTTTACTCTATGATTATCCATATTACTCGGACTATAACGGAATCCTTACAAAATGGACTTTTTTCCAATTTACAATATCAAAACGATTATAGTAAGAATAAATATAAAATTCAATAAGATGAACATATTTGAATCTTCATGTCATTATTAGATGAAGATCAATTTGAGATATTGTAAGATTTGTAACTCCCAAATAAAATATTTGGGAGTTACATAAGAATGACTAATGACCTAAATACCCTTATCATTAATATGTAAGTTACATTTTAACCAAACTCAAAGATGCAACATTATTGGTTGATGTAGGTTAGCAAAGTTAGTACAAAATATTGGGTTAGTATTTGAACCACCTCTCTCTCTCTCTCTCTATATATATATATATATATATATATATGTATATATATATATATAGAGAGAGAGAGGAGTGATCAAATGAAAACCACCTCCATTTGTACAAACCGTACAAACCACCCTCATACGTCGATTTCATTGTTTAATCTTATGAAATTTTTTCATGAAATTGTTTAATCTTGTGAAATTGTTTCATATAATACTTTTTTGATGAATTTGTTTCATATATGGTTATGAAATTGTTTCATATAATACTTTTTTGATGAATTTGTTTCATATATGGTTATGAAATTGTTTCATATAATATTTAATGAAATTTTAATGAAACTGTTTCATGTATTTATCTAGAATTAAAATTATGAAGATGATAATATCCATGATTAACACCCTCTACAATAAAAATGGTTAATCAACCTCTCATAATTACAAAAAATAAGCAAAATGAAAAATTATGATTGATTGAATGAGGTTTGCACGGTTTTTACAAATTAGGTGGTTTTTATTTGAACGCTCCCCTATATATATATATATATATATATATATATATATATCTTAATCATTTGAGAATTTTAAAACTTGTGAGATCCGTGAGAACTTCTACTTTAAGGTTTTGTTCACATGACTTTTTGCGTTTAAATATAGTATTTAATGTATTCATTAACATATATTTGTTTTACAATGTTTTATTTCATATGTATTTGGTTCACAATGTGAACTTTTTTTATGTGAATATTTTGTTTCAGAGATACATAAAAAATATTTACATTGTGAATCGAATACATGTCAAACAAATACAATGTGAAACAAAAATAGGTTAATCAATATTTTAAATTCTGGTCTTAGATGGAAAAAAAATCATATGAAATAACATATGATGCATAAGTTCTCAAGGTTATCACAATTTCATTAGTTTTCAAAAAAAGGTCTTATATATATATATATATATATATATATATATATATATATATATATATGAAGGGTATTCGCGCAATACAACGAGATATATATCGATTTTGATGTTTCGTTTAAATTTTTTGGTTTCTGTCAATGTTTAATACGACTTTATGTGGTTTTGAGCAAGTAATAATGTTTATTAATAAAATATGCATTTGAAAATATCATAAAAATTATATATATATATATATATATATATAAAGTTCTATTTTTTATGTAATTTCTTTAATTCAATTTTTTATTATAATTTAATTTAAGTTAAATAATGGAGTAATTTATTTTTGGTTTAATAATATAATTTTTTATAAAGATAATAACTATATATTCTATTAGAACTCAATAATTTTTCTCATTATATTTTAGATTTTATATTTAAAATGAGAATTTTATCTTGTATTTGATTATATTTATCTACTGTTAGTTATACGAATTCAAACATAAAGCTTAATAAATTTTACTTACGCACAATTTACTTATAATCTTGAATTTTAAGGTATATGCAATAACCAGTACTTCATGTATAAAAGATGATTTTTAAGAATTTTTGTCAAATGTTTTATAATATAGTATAGATATGGGGGGGGGGGATAAAATGCAAACTAAGTCATTTGTACAAACCATGAAAATCGTCAATTTCTTGTTTAATTTAGTGGGAAAAAAAATTATGAAATTGTTTAATATGATGAAATTATTTCAAATGATTCATTTATTGATAAAATTGTTTTATATATTTTTGTTTCTGTATAAAAATTAATTGTTTCATGTATTTGTCATTTTGATGAAATTTGTTTAAGAAAGTTAATAGAATGAAGATGATAATGTCCATAATCAACGTTCTCTACAATAAAAATAACTAATCAACTCTCATAATAAATAGAAAAAAGAAAAATTATGAGGTTTTCAACGGTTAATACAAATGATTTGGCTTGCATTTTATCCCATCCTTATACACATATAGAGAGAGAGAGTGTTAAATTGCAAACAAAATTATGTTGCAAACTAGTGGACAACTTTAACTTTTGACCATCGATCTTATTTGATCAAAGAGCTCATATTAATTATACTTTTTAATTAAAATGGTTACTTTTGAAAGTTTTTTCCTATCTTTTCCAAGTTTAACTATATAATTTTTTTTCCTTTTATTTTTTAATTAAAACCTTTTACTTTCTTAATTTTTAAACTATTTTAAATTATTAATATTATCTCGATATAGGTTTTTTCAATCTTAATCGTTTTTTACGTAAAATGGTATATACGTGTAATATTTATTATGAATATTCATGTACATTCACGTGTATACAACAGTTCGACGCCGTAAGCTCGTAACTTGATATTACCTTCTTCAAATTCGCAAGTCTTTAACCCGAAAACACCTTCTTCAATGTCATAAGTCTGTGACCTAGCACCATGTTCTTCGTCACTGCAACCCAACACCGATTGAAACCGATCGAGAACCCATGAGAATCCATCCATTGACTTGGTATATGTTTGTGTTTGTAAAACCATAACCTATCACTTTCAGCTTTTATGGAGACATATCGGGAATCCATCAAGACCAACAAAGAATCCATCGAGACCAATCGACAACTCATTATAAAAATAAATAAAAAAAACTAGAATATATAAAGTTGAAACTATAATATTTATTAATGATGTATATGAATGATTAATATTATATGGTGAAAATTAATATTTATGATGAACATCACAATGATATGAATACCAAATAACTGTTCTATACATGTGAATATACATAAATATTAAATAGTATGTATATTCATGATCAATGATATATGAACATGATACTGATATATAAATATAAAAAGTTGTCGTATAAATATATATAAATATTCATGATGAATAGTATATATACTTATGATAAATGTTATAATAAAATGTATATCCATGATTAATATCATAGTTACATATGAATATTAAAAAGTTATCGTATGTATAAATATCAAAGAGTTATGTATAAATGAACATGAATATTGACGATGAATCTTAGAGTCATGTTATGTATAATACTAAAACCAATATATATTTTATTTGCAGGCAGAAATAATTAGTTCTTGCAGCCATAATGTAGGGAAGGGGATGATTGCCTATTAGTAGATGTAAAAACAAAAGAGAGCTTGGCTTTATTAAGTAGAGTTGAGTAGAAAATACTTACATATTTACACAAAACCTCTCTCCTCATTTGCATAATCACAACAGACCTATATTCAGTTGTTTCTCACAACAAGCTTTCTTTTTCTTTTTCTTCTGCTTCTGCTTCTGGCTTCAAGAAATTGTGGCATTCCACCACACTCATCTCCCCACCACCTGCTGGATCAAACTCGCATCGATAGAAGCTGCGCGCACACACACACACACACTCTTAAGCAAAGTTTCATCATTAATAGAATACAGTCCATTTATATTTGAAAACGTTACCTTCCATCCATTCCAAGGATCACGACCGTGTTCCTCTGATGACCAAAACCAACAACATACTGCAAACCCTCGTTCAAATGAACCCGAGCCACTGACCATTCTGAACTGAAATACTTTGGTAGTACACCTGCAACACCAACAACTTTTGCTTTATGGGAAACAAGTACATAAACTGTAGATTCCATTGATGGGGTATATATAGTTGGTACCTTTCATGAATGATAGATGTGAAACAACTGGTGAAGTTGCATTATTTAGCTCCGACACACTTTGTGATCTTTCCATTCCCAACGGTCCAGAATCAATTTTTAAGTTGAAAACATGAACGGTGCCCCTGTCACTTGAAACGGCTAGCCTTTCTGCTGTCGTAGAGAAACCAAGGCTGTAGATGTCTGCTCTATCTGCACCCCTCCTTACCTGAATTCAATGTGCAAAAATCAATGAGAAAAAAATAATCCACAAGTGCTGCTGATGTCGGAGCGGTTTAGAATATAAATATTTTAGGAAGCTTTTCATGAACAGCAGAGTACAGATGATGGAACGCAAAACATATAAAATAATAATACACTTATTATCTCACTAAAACAATGATAACTTCGACATCTTCAAATGGGAAATCAACACGCTACAATTTCAAATCAAGTACATGGACATTTTATTGATCTTGAAGGTATAATTAGAGTCAAAGCATAAAAAATGAGCTGATACAATCATTATATTTGCAGTCCAGCTGACTAAATAATTCCCAGGCTCATTACTTGTTCACCACCCCTCTTAATCCAACAAAAAACATAGTTAACAACACACACTTTATTGGAAAAATCGTTGAAATTTCAAAATTTTAATTACTACAAATAGATTAAGAAATCCAATTTGCTGGCAAACCATCTGGGATCCTATCACTAAAGATGCATAGAAAACCAAAGCAAGAAATTTCAACTTTTCGAGTTTGCAATGAACTACAGTTAACATTTATGATCCTCCATCAAGAAGAACAAAATGTTCTACGGCCAAAATCTTGTACAAAGAAAGCTGTTGTTGAACCAAAACAGAAGAGATGAAGACAGTCATTCTCCCAGAAAACACCATCCATTCCTGGAATACCTTGTCTGCCTCATCAACTCTAAAAACTTCTGTCATAGTAACCTACCCCCACAACACCATAAACCAAACGAACAGACCCGGTATACCCCACTTGAAAGTAAGGTCCTGGCGGCGAATGTAAGCAGACATTACCTCAAGATCGAGAGGCTGTTTCCATGAAGACCCCCAGCTTGTGCACAAAACAAAGGTGTGTGCAGCAGGATATAAGATGGGTAATATAACAGGTTCTCTTAGGAGCAGCTAACGCCTATTTGTCTACTCTCTACCCCACAACACCATGTGAACTGCTAAAACTCTCTAGTTAAGGTCCTCCAACATTTGTTTCCATTCAGTTACATCAGTCCTCTTTGACTGTCACTATTGATTCAAAACATTCTTGCCAGCATCAATTCCAGCATTGGGATCATTGATGCAGAACTGCTTCATCATCTTGTCTATACAACCATGCCCTTTACCACATGGGATAATAGATTTAATCCACAATAAGCCTTCTTATCTCAAACTAGTGTGTAGGTTATTAATGAACTCAACAAATTTGAAGAAATGAAACCCTCTAGGGCTGAGAAACAGAATAAGCAACCTTCCATACACTACCCTGTAAGCCAACTCCTTTGGTAATCTCTACTCATTGAAATCTCTCTTGACCACCTTCCCCGCATCAATCTTGGCCTACCCCCACTTTTAACATCTTTCTCTTGGTAGAAGCGTCATCTTTTGTATTCAAAGTTTTATATTGGAGATGACTAAATCATCTCAATGAGGACCCGAGACGCTTGAAGAATCTTTTCCATTCTTCACTTATGTATGGAATGATAGAAATAAAATGAGATGGTTGTTGTGTCATAGTACAACCCCAATCTCCTAAGTGATGTAAAACTTTTAACCTCTTCCCTCACTGCCAGGGAACAAATCAGGCACCTCAAGGCCTGACTCAGTGGCTCGAGGCCTATGCCTCAACTAACCTACGAGAGACACCGCCTCAGAATCGACTTTCCAGCACCTCGCCTCGAGGCGTACACCTTGAACGCTTTCTAAAACCATGCTATGAACTTCCCCTTTCAACCTCAAAAGAACTTTCTGATCACAAAAAATTCAAAAGGTTCTTGTCACTTCTTCTGCCCTGCTTGTTATCCTATAACTAACTACCATATACTTACCTTCTTGTAATAGTGATGATTTCAAACAAAAAAATATACAGATATATTCACAAGCAAAAGAGTTGAGACTCCCATAGAAGATTTAGTATGTTATACATACAAAAGAATTAAAATTATCAGATAGGTTAAGTTACTCTTCTTTCGTTTCACATACCCCATTTCTGCCATTAACCTACTGTGAAGTAGGATCTTACTAAATTGACTGCTTACCCTTCATGACTAAAACATCAACTAGATGTGGATGTGACATAAACCAATTTGATTCACTTAGTTACCTAAATGGCTAAATCTTTATATTTGTTTTAGATAAAATAACTTTCGATAATAATTACACCCTCCGCAGCCTGCTCCCCAAGTTTTGGGAAAACTGATGGATTTAATGAGTGGATATTTGTACGTTTTACGTAAAGAAGAAATGGAAAGGTGAAGTTGGAAGAAGGTTGAGGATGCAGGATTCAGCATGCGCATCAGCAAACCTTGCCTGGTCCTACCTGGACAGCGATTGCCGTGCAACAGAAGAAGTGTGTTTCTCAGAGCAACAACATTTAGATCAAAATGGCAACAAAATCACTTCCATTTCAGGGTCTACTTTAGCAAACTCAGCATCAACCAATTGATGGACAATTCGGCTTAAAGATGGGTTCGATTTGATTTGGGACAGCAAGATTTGTGAAATATGGACTTCGATGAGGTACAGTATGATGTAGAACAAGGGTTCCAAAATGGTTCAATTGAAATGGACGAATATATACCTGTTTCAATGTGCACAGGACTCAATTTGGCGGCAAAGGCTCAATCTGATTCTCAACTAAGTGTATTTTGAGTTTTCTCCTCAACAAGGGTTTCATACTCTCTCATAACATGGGATTTGCAATCCTAATCCTATGATCCAATTCGAATCATGAACCAAAAGATGTGAATCTCCTTAGTAGACCACAATCCTTCCTAAAGTGGAAAGTCGCCATGAATTGGTGAATTATATGATTTTCACCTTATTTCTGTTGTTTTGTGGATTTATATGTAGAGTTCATTAAACTGTTCAAAAACCTCGTCCGAGAACTTGTATAGAGAAGGATTTCCCGAGGTGCAGCAGTTCTTCAATACCAACTTAGCTACCCGGCGCTGCTATTGGCATAACAACCGGTACACCATAGRTTGGCCCAACCCAGTCCTCTAACTACAACATATGAGTAGTCATATGAACAAAATAAAGGTTTAGATTGGTAGACTAACTTTCTCGTGATTAGTGTAAGTATATTTTGGTTCAACAGCACTAGAATGCTTAATTTCTGTGTTTTATGTTTGTACATATTATAAGGATTAATTTAGAAAAATATTGAAGTCAAACCATGATTAGTCCATGACTAACAATTCATGAAATTTGTATGGTGATTATTTAATTCACGACTTGGAAACTACAAATTTAGGTGGCTATCAAAACATGTTGTGATGATTCCAAATCTGGACTCTTATGTGTATGTGATGAATTAGGACCATCAACGACTGTGTTGTGTGGTGGTTCACAAGATAGAAGTTGGGATAAAGCAGATGGCAGAGGGGAAAAGATTGTTCAAGTGAATTGTGTTACTCGTGTAGGTGACATTGGGGAAGAAGGTAGATTTGGTTGAAGAATTATACCTCATGAATTATTGTGCTTTAAATTAATAACAAGGATAGACCCTCAAGTTTTTCTAAATGTATACAAATTTGATTCATATTCTACAATAAGGTAAAAGTTGATTGATAATAAGGGGCTGTTTGTTTGGCTCTTAATGTAACCTCTTAATCGGTAAGAGGTTAAGGGTGTTTGGCAAAAAAAAAGAGGCTCTTAATGGTTACACAACCCCTCTTAACCATTTTGCATATGAGGCTTCACTAAACCATTCAGAGTGTTCTTTTTCCAATTTTGTCCTCTACCAAGCTTTCCTCACACGTCGCCGGTCTTCACAACCCCTCCCCCACCCTCTCGTCGCCGGTCTTCACAGCCCCTCCCCCACCCTCTCGTCGCCGGTCGTCAAATCGATGATGTACATGTTGAACAAGGGCAAGAATTAGTTCCATTTTCTCAAACCCATCCCATAAATCTCAGTGATTCACCTAATCAGATGATGATTCTCGATGATTCATCACAGATTGAAGCCATCGATGAGGGCAAAGAGGAACAAAAAGTGAAGGTTAAAATGGAATAATGGGTTTTTGTTAGATGAGGGCAAAGAGGAACAAAAAGTGAAGGTTAAAATGGAATAATGGGTTTTTGTTAGATGAGGGTTAAAATGGTAATTTATTGTCATTCAGAAAACAGTTACCAAACAACATTATTTCATTCAGCACTTAACCATTCTGACCCTCTTAACTATTCTGACCTCTTAACTATTCTGCACTAAATCATTCAGCAACTGCCAAACAGCCCCTAAGACACATATAATTAATCATATTCCAAAGAGAAGGATAAACAAATTCTACCCAAGTAATTATTATAAGTCTTTATGGACAAGAAAGCACATTTACACGGACGATCTTAAAACAGTCATTTCAAATTGTAATTCTCCCAAAAACTCTGCAATACATTAAATCTCCTATGATCTCCAGGAATATTGTCGAAGTTATGGCTAATTCTACCACTGAAAGCCAAAGCAAAGTTGACGCTAGGTGTAACCTGCGCGATGGCAAAACCGCCCAACAAAGACATGGGTTTTGATGAGGGTATTGAGTTTGAGGACCAGTGAGAGCAAAGTGACCCTCCAGTGGCTGGGTACTGGAGTTGAAAGTTTTGGGGTTGGGCATGCATTTCAAGACACTTTCCAACATTTCGTACTCCCATGTCCCATCAAAAACAATTTCTATAATACTCACTAAACCAAAACAACTTGATGAACACAATTCCCATCTAAAGAGAGGCCATTGCTGAACACAATCATCAAGCCTAGTGAGCCACAAAATCCCAAATCAAAATATTATTACGAAGAACAATGTTCAGTAAGATTTTCCTTCCTAAAGTAGGTAACGGTTCAATATAGCAGCCACATGAGAAAGAAAGAATCAAAAGATGACTAGATGTTAAAACTACATAAGGCAAGATTATAAATTATAACCTATGATTGAGGTAATAAAATAATAATCTATCCTTACAAACTAAATTATGCACATTTCTTGATACATGAACCCTAAATAAGCAAGTAAATGTCCGATATCAAGTCAATAAGAACTTCTAAGATGATGCTATTCATTTATATCATTCACTTGTTCATTTTGTTCAGCCCCACTTAATTATATAACCTACACAAGATTTCCTAATTGGGAAGGGTGATATGAAGGCTTATAACCAAAAAAGGATGACCATATGCATATGCTAGTTCCTTAGACTTATGTAGTATGTTATAAATACTGCAATAACAATCACAATCAAATTCAATAGACAATTAGAATACCTCCTGAAGCAAGGAACCATCAAGAGTGTTGAATATTCGAATCAGAGTTCCCTTACTACTGGCAGTAGCGAGCAACCTGCCATCATGAGTGAGAGCAAGACACACAATCCTGGAATCATGAGCCATTATAAACTTGGTCTGCTTGGATGCATAATGCTCCACCCTGATTTGCCCCTTCCGCAGCCCTGGGCACACCAACACCATCGACCCAGAAAGATGAGAAACCTCACATAAGCCCTTGGAATTTGTGAATGTATCTATCTGTTGCAAAAGCTTCAAATCCGCAAAATTATAAACATAAATCTTCTCAAGTAAAATCACAACTATCCGGTCCCGCCTCAACCGTACAGACTTAACTTCGGACCCGAACGACAGTTCACCGATGCATCGGCTCTGATGGTCGTCCCAAATCATCACCTTGTTTAAAGGATACTGTGGCTCCGGTCCACCACCGACTAAAGCGAGTATGTTACATCGAAAAAGCATCTGGACGACACCGATACCGCCACCGTTGTCAAAGTCCCGACGGAAAATCTCTCGGAAGGGGTCGCAGTTGTAAATACGGAAGCCACGATCGGTGCCAGCTGCGAAACAGGCAGAGTCTTGATTGAAGGAAAGGTGAAGGAGGTTGGGGAGGTCGTCGGCAGCGGTGGGATTCGAAGGTATGGTGGAAGTTAAATCGAAGGGAGGAGTTGGGTGATGGAATGACTGTTGTTGGGATGAAGATGAAGATGAAGAGGAGGTCTGGTGGTCCATGATTAGAGTTACGGAATCAAGGGAATTGGAAGGAGAAGGCGATATTGTCGTCATATGTATCAATCAATCAGGCGAATTGAATTCAGTAGAAGAAGAACGGCGACGACCGACGGCTGCTGAACCTCGTCTGCCGACTTCACCTCCTATTACTTCGTGGTGTTTGGGATTGTTTTTACTAATCATAAACATTTATTATATTAACATAAATAGTTGTATTGTATATAAACTAAAATACATTAAAAATATATTTATTTTTTTATAAATAATATCATTATATTTTTCTCGTTAATACCTTTAAAATGAGATTAATATCGAGTATTTTTTGATTTAATCGTATTATTAAATATCGTAAATACATAATGGATTATTTTAAAACTTATATTTTATACCTTATTAGTTGTGTACCCGCGCAATGCGACGAGAACCATGAATTTTAACGATTTTAAAGTTCCATTGGTTTTATAAGATAAGATTTAACGATGACATATGTTACACTTGGTCTTTACATATTAATACAATTTGAATAAATAAGAGTTATGGTTCCAATTACAGACTATTGATGAAAAAAATTGTATGACAGTTTAAAATCCAATATATTTAAAATCCAACATATTTAAACGACTTCACAAATGTATTCGATTTACACCAAGAGCAAAGAACCAAGAAACTTGAGTTTTAAGATAAACACTCAAAACCAATAAATAAAACTACAAATTTGACATATCATAAACCATGAAAAGACAAAAAAAGATGGGTTTTAGAATGAAATTTCAACTGCTT